AATAGCAGCAGGAAGAGTTAGAAAAAAGGGTAAGTCAGAAATGCAAGAGAGAACAAGCCTGACAAAAGTCTTAAAGCTAGATCAGGAAGACAGCGTGGTAAACAGTAATGAGCTTTTACATTTGCGAAAGGTGGAAAAAGGGGCAACGCTAATTAGTAGAAGCTCATAGGAGATTCACACTGCTCCGGCAAGGAGAACTGCATGCCGCTACGCAGCTGCTGCTGCACAGCAAGCACTCATGCTGGGACTGAGAAAACTGCCCTTGTCCATGGGATGCAACTAGTCCTCCCCTGAGCTGCCCTCAGACCAGGAACAGGCATCCTTCTCTCCATCCCCCTGCAGCTGGCATTACTAGCTCACTTACACTGCAAACAACCTGACCATTAAGGCAGACACCTTGAACTGCCACGCAAAAACTCCTCAGAGAACAAGACAGTAGTCTTAAGGTGGTAAGATGCACTTCTCTACTAAGTGGTTCACACCCGAGCTACAACGCCCACTTTTATCTCCTGTCCTCAGACAAGACCTGGTAGCTGACAAAAGGGTAGCCCCTCCTTCCTGGATATCATGGTTTGTGGCAGATAGGATTATCAGACACAGAGCAGCAAGCCCTGGCTGAACAGTGAAGGACCCCATCACCTGTATCTCTCAGCTCAAGAAGAACATTCAAAGTCTGCAACATTAGAGAAAATGCTGTTGAACTCTTGGTGAATGTGTATCACTGGAAAAAAGTACAGCTCCATCAAAACTGAAGCTACCACATTAGGGACAGACTCCTTTACCAACCTGGCAAAAAAAAAAGAAAGGTCAGACTGAAGGCAGAAAAACTGGAATGGGATGTTCAGAACTTCAGCGCTGGCCCAAGAGCTCACACTAAAGTCACGCACATTTACCCTGAGTTCACCGTAAGCAGAATTAGTGCAAGACCATTGGGGCAAAAGTCTTGTCCTAGTTTAACACCAGAGGCCAAAAAAAATTTTTAAGTTGCCTAGTGAAGTCTGTGGCTTACAAAACTTCGTAGAGTCAGCTAGGGTTTTAATCAGGCTATAGACTTATGGTCCTAGTTGTCAGCCCTCTGATTTGAAAAACTCGGGCCTCTGTGAATAAAAGATTGTTTTAGACTACATTTTGTCCCAGTGCACGTTTGGCGACCTTCATTAGGGTCTGCTTATACTTTTCAAAAGGCAGCAGAACCTACCGTTCCTAGAGTACGCTTAACTGGCAACATCCATTGCCGCCTTCTGCTCCCACAGAAGGAACCCAAGCACATCTCTCCCCGCATACCATTTCTTGTACTTGGGATACAGCTTCAGATCATGCTTGTCACAGGCTTCTTTCAGAGTCTTGTGAAAATGAACGGCATCCTCTTCATTCAGGTAAGTCGGAGTGAGGTCAGTCCCACCACCAAACCACCATTGTTTCGTTCCTGTAGGAGAGAGGCAAGCAGCAATGTTTTTCTTTTAAACTTCCAAGCAGAAATGCATTGCTAGTGGTTCACCAAGAGCTAACGACTACTTCTGCAATACAAACCGTAATCATTATTCCGTGACATCCCTGAACATCAATCACAAAAGATTGGAGTTTGAGGTAGCACAACAAACAGTGACTTCATGAAAACATGAAATAAATTTCAAAGCAGTGAAAACTGTTTGTTCTGTATTTTGGACCGCTGACCCTGACTACAGGATATCAGTTTCACAAGATGGGCTGACAACCCTGTCAAGAATCCAGAAACATTTTACTGCATGCCAAAGAAAGGAAACATCCTTATTGAAGTCAGGAAAGTAATGGACTAGAAATGATCCATAACGCTCCGGCAAAATGATTGAAAGAAAACTCTCTTTGAGCTTCTGACAGTACGTACGCTGTCAGGAGGTACAGGCGGGCTCTCGGCGTTAGACCACCTAGCCTGGAGTCCTGCTTCTGACAGCGCCAGTTGGAGAAACTCAGGGGGAAAAAAGGCATAGCGCCCGTGGGGAACGATGCTTCTGATGGTACGTCCTCCCACCTTCTGAGACAAAGGTCCCTCCTGACCAGAATGCTTACCAGTCCTTCATAGACCTTTCCTCTACTAAATTCTAGACTTGCTGCTTTGAGTATGTTTTACACTTATTTATAACCTCCTGCACTTTTCACTTAAGACCCCTGGAGCACGCTGCAAAAAGTAAACTGCAAATGCCTTTATTGCCGTGCCAGATGCAGGCATCACACTGGTTTTACAAATGGACAAATGAAGGCCCGGAGGTTAAGAGATCCAGTGCTACGCCACAGACTCTTGGCACAGCTGGGAACAAAACTGGACCGGTTCTCAACCTCTTACCCTACCCGCACGTTTCCACTTCCTTCCTGCGGAGTCATACATTTCATTCGTACTTCATAGGATTAAAATTCTTACCGTCTGCTTCTTCAATTTCAAAGTATCTGTAGTTGAAGTGCATGGTCGGAACATGAGGGTTCTTTGGATGGATAACAGAGCTCACACCCATGGCGCAAAAAGGCAGTTTCCCTAGATAAAAAGAAGCACAGAAAAAAACCCTTCAGTTTTTCAAATAACTTCATTTATTATCACTTAAGGAACACCACTATTTTTCCTTAGGTTCCAAGCTACTGCTTGTTCCGCTACAAGAAAATGTCTCATGCCGGGTCACCATAATTATTAATCCGTGTGCAATTTACTTCCCACCCTTCTGTGCACCTAACTAAACGCTTTTTTTGGTATTTGTCCTACAACTCACCACTATGTTAGAGCACCCATCAGACGAAGATTGCTTAAAACATAAGGCACTGCTAAGGCTTCCCACCACCCCAGTCCTCAGAATTGCCCTTTGCTACATGAACATGGGTTGAATCCTCTCTAGCCTTCAGGTCTTTTTGGTTCTCTGCCTCCACCTCTCCGGTACCCAACTCCTGCGCTCTCCCACTGTCGAGCTACAGCGTCGTTCTTGAGAAACAACCCGCGCCTGCAGTACATTGCTTAAAGCAGCGAGACGGAGGGCGAAGCGCTCCGATACTGAGTTTTTTAGGGATATGAAAGTTCCCCTGCCAGGCTTGCTGCTTGGAAACCACCACGACACAAATGAAATCTTTCCTCGAGCGTTGATCAGTCTGGCCTCCCTCAAGTCCTGCTCGAAAGCCAGGCTCTGCTTTCAAAGTACTCGCAGGGCAACACTCGGCTGACCGTGTCCTGGTCCCCTACCCCACCTCCCCGCCGGACCCCTTACCGTCTTTGGCCTTCAGCGACTTGCCCCTGCTTCGCATCTGCCGCGCTGCCTCCTCGGACAGGAGCCCGAACACGACGGAGACGTTCACGCCGGCCTTCTCGAAGACCTCGCCGTCCTGCAGCACGCAGCTGATGCCGCC